GTTTGATTTCTTCCTCCTCTTCTTCCTCCACTCTGTCATCCTCACATTCATTCTTTCCTTCTTTTTCTTCCTCATGAGTCTTAAACGGGTTCTTCTCTTGGATTTCTTCCTTCTCCTCTTCCTCTGTCTCCTTCTCTTCCTCCTTTTCGTTCCCCTCATATTTTTCTTTTATTTCTCCAACTTCTTCTTCCTCAGTCTCTCTGTCATGTTCATTTCTTTCATCATCTTCCTCTTTTTCTGTCTCTACTCTGTCATTCTCTTTCTTTTCCCCATGAACCTGAAGTTCCTCCTTTTCTTTAAATTCGACTGTCTCCTTCTCTTCCTCCTTTTCTTTCTCCTCACATTCTTCTTTTCCTACTTTTTCATCCTCATGAGATGTAAATTCTTCTTTTTCTTTTATTTCTCTGACATCTTCTTCCTCTGTCTCTCTGTCATGTGCATCTCTTTCTTCATCTTCCTCTTTTTCTGTCTCTACTCTGTCATTCTCTTTCTTTTCCTCATGAGCTTGAAGTTCCTCCTTTTCTTTACATTCAGCTGTCTCCTCTTCCTCATTTTGTTTCTCCTTACATTCTTCTTTTCCTATTTCTTCATCCTCATGAGACCTAAATTCATCTTTTTCCATCTCTTCTTCCTCCATCTCTCTGTCTTGTTCCTTGCTTTCTCCATCTTTTCCTTTCTCTACTCTCTCATTCTTCTCATTTTCTTCAGATTCTTCCACCTCTTCTTCAGCTGTCACTTCTTCACTTCCTGCCTCAGAAGACTTGAGCTCCTGATTCTCTTTAGTTGTTTCCACCTGTTCTTCCTCCGCCTCTCTGTCTTGTTCCTGTCTTTCTTCATCTTCCTCATTCTTCTCATTTTCTTCAGATTGTTCCACCTCTTCTTCAGCTGTCACTTTATCTTTCTCATCAGTTTCTTCGTTTTCTGACTCAATCTCCTGATTCTCTTCGGTTTCTTCTGTCTCTCCTTCTTGTGTCTTTCCTTTCTCCTCATTCTCTCCTACTGCTTCTTCATCTTCCTCGTGAGATCTTTTTTCGTCCACCTCTTCGTCCTCATCACTTTCTTTTTCCTCTCCTCCACTCTCACTTCTGAACTCTTGTCCCGCTCTGTCGTCTTCCTGAATAACCTTTTTTCCTTCCTCTTTTTTCTCCACCTCTCCTCCTCCTCCTTGTCTTTCTGTCTCTTCCTCTTCATCCTCCTCATTCTCAACCCTCCTTTCTTCTTCTTCTTCTTTGTCTCCCTGCGTCACTGCTTTGCTCTTTCCTTCCACCTCGTCTTCTTCTTTCACCTCCTCTTCTTGCCTTTCTACATTTTCTTCCCATTTTTCTTCCTTTTCTTCTTCTCCCTCGTCATTCTCGCGCATCTTCTCCTCATCCACCTTTTCAGTTTCTTTCTCTTCATCTCGTCCATTCTCAAGTGCAGCTTCTTCTTCGACCTGTTTTTCAGTCTTTGTTTCTTCCTCCTCTTCCGTCTTTTCAGTGTCTTTCTCTTCTCCTTCATCCCCTGCTTCCTGAACACCTTTCCCCTCCTCCTCCTCCTCTTCCTCCTCCATCAGCATCGGTTCCATCGTGTCCTCTAATGACAGAATATCTCCAAACAGCCCAACTGCCTGAATGACTCGAGACACGATGGAGTTCTGCTCCAGGTCCAGATTGTCCAGGACGTCTGCAGCCGTCCACCAGCTCGCCATCCTGCAGGAAACTTCTACCGATCGGTTCACACAAAGAAAAAGCAAACCTGCATCTGTCCCAGCAGGATCCAAACTGGCTATGAAAGCACTCACACACGACCAGAGACGGATTTCATTAATGCTCGTTGGCAGCACACGTCATTTCTCAATCCACAGTCTGGTGACCTGAAGGCCACGTTTTCAGCCTCATGTGTGTGAACAAACTGGTAATACTTTAATCTCTCAGGTATGAGCGCCTTCGCTGGAATCCTCCAGGATTTCACTCAGTGTGCAAGTTTAGAATTGTAAAACAGAAACATTAAAAAGTATTCACACTGTAAAAGAAAAAAATGAAATACATGAAAACAAAAATAAACTATAAAGTTACACGTCTAATGTAAAACAACTGAAGAAAATTAGGATCCATGAAAGATACAACTTTTTTTTGGTAAAGTTGCAAATATTGATATTGCTATTATTTCAATTTAATACTATATTGTTGTAAACATGTTTATTTATTTAATAACAGTGGTTTGACATTTTTAAACATAAATCTAATCACTTTAAAGGTGGATATACTTTTAAAGAAAATCTATAAATATGACAGATAAAATTTCTATGTTAAGTTACCTGATTGCAGTTCTTGCATACGATTCCAGCAGCATAAAATCCCAATAAAATCACCTAATAATAAAACTTATCTGCAGGATTAAACTGTAGTATTTTTTACTATAACTCTATACATCCATATTTAAAGGTAATTTCACAGTTTTCTTTTTTCTTTTAAAAAAAAACCAAAAAAACAACACACTTAAATATCTCTCGTTAAACTTTAAAAAGCCAAAAATACAGATGATCTCATGTAAAAATTAAGATGAGAAACTATATTTTATTTAGGGTGAAAAAGTGCAAATAGATCAACTGAAATATACTGAAAACAAAATAATTCCCATTAATTTCCTGCACAGACAGCTTTTCACACTAATGTTATAAAGTATGGCTTATTTACGGTATTTAGTATTTTGCGGTGCGATATTAACCACATTCATGACGACACACAAAACCAGATGTTAACACAAAAACATTCAAATCATAATCGGGTGTTTGAGCAGGACCCACATAAAAGCCTTTATCAAGTCGATCATGTTGATATTCTGTATGTTTGCTCCTTAATACATCAGAATGATCGTCTTTATTTATGGAGCATATTTCAAAATCCAACCGCTTCACGCAAACAAATGACAAAAACCAATAAAATTTAATCCAGCACTGCAAGATAAGTGAAATAAATGAGCCAAACCAGTGTGATAACGAATATTAAAACTCTATACAAACTCCTCGGCTGAGCTTTTTCTCTGACTCTGCCTCTGACTGTACATATAAGATCAACATTCCCTCTGTGGTTTATCCCACAGCGGCATGTAAAGCTTTACATTAAGCTGCTATGTGTGTTACAGTCTCACATGTATCAGCATTATGTCACCGTTTATGTCATCGCCACAATTACACCCGCAAAGCTACATTTGAAGAGTTTCCCGTGAAGGAAATCTCATAAATATTCAAAAACATCATGAAATGTGACTGAGGCTGAATAAATCTTTCTATTTTAGATGCTGCTCAGTGTCCACTATGTGGCAGTGTAACCTGAGAAATGCAGCCGGTTGTGTTGAGAAACTTATTCTAAATAAGCAGAATTACGAGTCACTTGCCCAAGATGTGCTCCTCTTGTGTTTAAACTTAATACCATCCAAAATATCGTATATGAGTGTGTTAAACTGGATTTATTTATAATTTCAGTGCCTCACGGGTAAATATATTTAATTAGTTTTAACAATTGGTTAATTATTGTCGTATTTTCATGCGTTCTGTTGTGTGTTACGGTGTGCTGGAATTCTGCTTTGATGAAGCCGCTCGAGATGCCACTAAATTAAACAACAAAACCACAACTTGATGTTTTTCTGAATTTATTACAACAATAAAATTTTGTATCAGTACAAATCTGAAAGAATTTTCTGAAGAATTTTTATGCACTAAATAAATTCAAGATCATTTTTACATTAAAAAATGGTGCAAATAAAATCTTAATTGAAGGATAACGTATGTATATTAATAGTGATTATTGATAAAAATGAGCTCCAAATGTTATTTTGTGTAAAGTTTTGGTGCTTGATGAGAAGGTGAAAGTGCATATCTTAGCTATGAGTGTGAATACGACTCACAACAGGGCTTATTATAGCGGTTTTTTTTAAACACCAGTGCAGAACAAAGAGCTCTTAGTTCATGTCACAATGATCCTCAGATAATATTTCATGTTTTAGCTTTCTTGAGAAACACAAAAAGAGTTTTATTTAAACTAGCAGCAGCACAGACACTTACTGCAGCTCTAATTTCCAGAGTATCGTCATTGTTTTCCTACGATTCACCTCTACTTTGTGACTTTGCTTCCTGCTGCGCCCTCCAGGCAGCGAGGACCTCGTCGTCTTCAGCCTCGGCTGCAGCTCGAGCTCTGATCCTCTGCCTGGTTTGGGCAATGAAGGTCGCGATGTCGTCCTCCTTGTCTTCACCGTCAGCTTCCTCCCTCCTGCTCCTCCTGCCTTCTGTGTCGCTGCTTTCATATCGTGACTGATGAGCGAACTTTCTCTTGGTGGAGTAGTCGCTGTAGCTCTCGGTTCCCTCGTCGCTCTCGTCGTAAGCGGCGTACGACCTTCCTGCGCGGCTGTAGCTCTGGGACTGAGCGAACCCGTTGCAGGAATATTCAGCGTCTTCACCTGATAGATCTTCGTGAAGCCTTGATCTGTATCTTGAGGTAACGCCGTATGCGGTTTCCTCGTCGTCTTCTGCAGCATAGGAGGCCCTGCGGCTCGAGAAATCAAATTCTGAAGCAGAGGCATCGAGATCATCGTATGGATCCTCTGTAGGACCAGCTTCTGCTCCTGAGGCGGGTTTTCTCGGAGGAGGCCTGACACTTTGCAGCCAGTCGTCGATGCTCGTGTTTTTCTCCTTTTCCAGCTCTGGGTTCAGATTGAGGCACCCGGAGAGGCCGTAAGTCCTCTTGGGTTTCTCCTTTTTCTTTGCCTCTTCAAGAAACTCCTCCTCTCTCTTCTTTCTTTCCTCCTCCTCGTCTTCGTCTTCCTTTGGTTTCTTTTTCTTGTACAGAGTGCTGCGCTTGTTATCCTCCAGGATCTTCTTCTTTTCGTAGGTAGCCATCTTGCCCCTCATCTCAGATTTAATCTCCTTGTCCATGGCATCTAGTTTGCCCAGGTTGACCTGGTCCTGGAAGAGGCTGAAGAGAGGCACGCTGGTGGTGGTGATCTTGTTTTTCTTGGAGCCCAAGGTAGAGCCGAGATTGGAGCCGAGGGTGGAGCCAAGGGCCGAGCCTCGACCACTGAGACCTGATACGCTGCTTGACCCACCGGCCGAGAGGACCGACGCTGCCCTGCCGCGACCCTGGGACAGGGCGCTGGAGTAGGAAGCACCGCTCAGCAAGGACGCTTTGTCATCGTCTCCACCGCGACCCGAGATCACGCTTGATGCACCACCAAAGCTCAGTTCAGAACCAGCACGTGAAGGAGGAGGCAGGCTCATTTCACTCTGCTTCTGTTTGATCGTTTCAGACACGACGTTGGCGATCCAGTTTTGGATGCTGGACAGATTGACCATTGGTTCGCCTCCGGGGCCTTGTACAGTCGGAACTGGGAGGATGGGAGGAACTGGTGGCACAGGATTGATCAGGCCTGCAGACTGTGAGGATCTTGTGCTGCGAGGTTGTGAAACTGAAGATATGACAGAAGACCTACCGCTGAGCATGGACATGTTGTCATCGTTGGCCACGCTCGGCGGCCCCGTGACGCCAGCTCCTGCCCAGAAGGCCGACAGAGGTATCGTTCCACCGCTAACGCAGCTCTCGGTTTCCCAGCCGCACATCGACTGACTTTCTTCTAAAGTCTTCCTCGAACGCTCCAGAAGCTCCTCGCGTCTTTGCCTCCTTTTGATGGTTGCAGAGTCCTCACCACGGCTCATTTCCAAAATCTCATCCGTGTTCTCCTCCCCAAGACGCTTCTGCTGCCTCAGCTTCCACGCCTGATATGCTGTCAGGTTGACATCTTGGAAGGACGGCGCCTTGGCTTCTCCCTCGCCGTCACCTTTCTCTCCGTCGCCGATAGAACTTTTCTCTCCATCCTCACGATCTTTCTTGTTCCAGCCGAACTGGATCCTCTTGACGCGCCAGCGCTCCAAAGGCGTCATCTTCTCCTTATTTTTCTGGCAAAAGTTGTACATGGAGCTGGAGTCTGAGATGATGCTTTCCACTTCATCGTCGATCTTCTTCTTTCCTGATTCGCCTTCTGTTGCGGTGCTCTCACTGCCTTCATCGTCTTCTTTTTTGTGGTAGCGAGCAGCAGCTTGCTCTTCGATCTCCCTCAACCGCTGCTTCCAAAGATCAGAGTAGCTTGTGCAGCTGGAGGTGGACATGGCATCTGAGGGTGGACGCCTGTTGCGACGCTTCAATCGCTCTTTCACAGCTCGTACATCCTCACTGGTTACGCTTTCCACGTCGCCGTCGACACCTTCTTTTGTCTTCTTCAGACGACCTCCTGCAAGAGATTCCCCGTCCTCTGCGTCGCTGTTGAGCTGCGCCTCCCACCACTCGTCGTTCTGGTATTTCTCGTTTCTCCGCTGCCACTCGCGGATCATGGTGTCGAGACCGTCCTCATCGTCGCCCTCCTCGTCGCCCTCCTCAGGCAGAACCAGCTCCTCCTGACCACCAGTCTGGCTGTCCGGCCCGTTCTGAACTCTGGTCAGCCCATTCCTCAGCGCTGCAGCAGCAGAGGAGGCGACACTGCTCATCACACTTTCTCCATCCTCCTCCTCCTCCATCATGATGGAGTTTGCTTTCACCTCGATCATGCTCTGCTCGTCCTCTTTGTCCGTATCGTCGTCATCGTCGTCATAGTCTCCGCCTTCGCCGAAGATGCGAGCGCGGGTGCGGGCGTCGATCACGGAGCACTGGCTGAGCGTTTCGTCGTCGTCGTCGCGCTCCTCCATCAGGTTCTCGTTGAGCTCTCGCAGCTGCTTCAGGAAGCCCTCGTTGGGGTTGATGGCGCGTTTTTTCCTCATGGACGTCAGGGCCTCCATGATGGTCATGTGCTGGAAGATCATCAGGTATGACGCCACCAGGACGGCAGAGCGACTCACGCCCATCATGGAAACCACAAGAACCTTCCCTGAAAGCAAAAGAGGCAGTGATCACCCCGAGATATTTACTGAACAACATCCAAACATATCGCTGACATTTCCTCATACTTCTCAGCGGCAGTAAAAACTTTTCACCTGTCTTTTTTCTCATCATGTATAATGCATAATATTACAAAAAAAACATACCAGAGTGTTTTTATCTTTCCTTCTCAAACTAAATATCAGCCAGTTTGGCTTCCCAGCCTGCAGACACAGGGTTAGTTAGTAAATCAGTAGATGAATAAGAGACACAGTCGACTCTGTGACTGTATCATCATCTTCCAGGAACACGGATGACCTCTGTTACCCATAAAACGCTTCGAAGAAACTGATATGTTGTTACAGATTAACTGTTTGAGAACTGTTAAACTCCTCCTGGGAACATGCAGCTGGAAAATATCTGGAGAAATAAGTGCTTTGTGCAGGGTCCCTGGTGTGGATTCTGGACATGAAGAGAAAAATTCCAAGAATCCAAACACTGAAGATTTGTTAATTAAGAGGCCAATAAATAAATAAATAACTCACGAGGACATGTCATTATAAGGTAATGAATACAGTGATAACCGGTTGTATGCAGCTGAAGTAGTTGTTTTAATTAATACGCTTACGAACATTTTTTTCATTTTCCTGTCAGTGACATGCTTCCAGTCTGTTTTAAAAGTGTTTATTTATATCTGTGAGGATAAAAATTTTGGGATACTTTTTTGATTTTGAAAGCAAAACCACAGTGCAAACAATGTTATTTTCAGGGGAGCACATTCTTTTGCATTTATTTCTAGCACTTTAATCATAAAAACACATAAAACCAAACTGACAGATAGAGAGAGAGAGAGACTGACGCTTCAACGAATCCACCATTCCTCTGTGGAATAAGTTCCCCTAGCGCTGCGGTTCATACGTTATTTACTGTTTTACAAACGCGAGATGGAAAATCAAGGCGCTTGGCAACAATAGCACTGCACACTGGTATCTGTATTAAAGCGAATTAGAGATGAATCACCGTCACGCATGAATGAAACATCAATAGTGGAGTAATTTTACACGCGATCCATGATGATGAAGACGTAGGAAAATGGAAAGAAAAAAAAATCACAGCTCCTTCTGGCTCCCTGTCGTTCACACCCTCATGAATATGTCTAACTAAATACTAAAGTGTGAGATTGAAAATTGGAATGTTGTGGTTCGGAGGAAACACTAAACTGCTTTTTTCATCAATATAACAATTTAAAAGCGCTCTATTATAACTTAGATCCCTCATCTACTATCTTACTGAAACGAAAGTGCAGACAGAAGCAATAAAAGTACTTATTATGCAGTGAAATATCTCCCATCACTGATATATTATAAAGTCTGACGTGACCAGATTATTAATCCTGTGTAAAGCAGCGTTTTACTGTTGCGTACTGTTTCAAAGAGTCACCAGATAAGTGTGAAGTGGAAAAAAAGACGACAAAAATAAGTTCTGATACATAAATCTGTATTAAAAGTTTGAATTTCCTTTAATCATCCTTACCGCTTTGGCATATTTATTAATGAATTAAATTAAAATGATGGCAATAAATCAGTGTATACAACTGAAAATGTTCTGATCTCTTGAAATAAAATACAAAGTGTGGGAGAATTAAAAAACAACACTTGAAATGTATACGTATAATAGGTCATTTAAGTGAAATCAAAAGCTTCTTCGATGTAATTGTTAAATAAAACCACACAATTAGAATAAATGAGTGTTTAGAGATGACACATTTTTTAGGTCCTGTTGTGGTTTGAACACACCTTCATTAAAAAACAAACTTCATGCAGGCGAACTCTCTCCAGGACGGACTAAATAAGCTTCCGCTCACCTTTGTGAGTCAGCAGAGCCTCGTCCAGGAATTCGGCGGTGGGTCTGAAGTGCGTCGAGATGTCGACGTAGGGGAAGTCGTCCACCTCGATGCCCAAGTACTGGATGTTCATGCCGGCGTAGAAGGACTGGCTGGTGTAGACTCCGGTGCCGTGAGCCGTGTTCAGGATGTGTGTGATGCCCATTCGCTTCAGACGGGCCTTGTTAACCGCAACAGACCTGAGACAGGAAACACAAACAATTTCCTCTAAATTCTGGCAGCTGTTAATTACTGTATAATTAATTACAGAACTCCACAGCAGAATATAAAGTTTTACTGCTTAATACTGGAACCACACTTTGCAATAATATACTGTGTTTATATAGTGTTGCCACGGTAATCGAAGTATCTTTAATCTTCGACAATTGAGAACTCTGTTTAACATTTAAAAGCAAGGTAAGACAAGTCTTGTGTCAGGAGCATCCGTGCAAAATAAAAATGAACAAAAAATACACAGAAGTAATGTTTATCCTGCACAGATTCCTGTGGATGTGGAGATTAACTTTATCGCATGTGTTTACATATAAACAACAATGTTCTGCACAGATTCTGGTATAACGATATAAGAAATAGTGACAGGCAGTTTTTTTGAGATTGGAAACATCCGGGAACATTTCTTCATCTCCAGCTGCAGGTTCACGGTGAACTCACTCTTACAGGGGCTTTTATTTTGGAGAGACTATGAAGGAAAAAAAAAACTTAAACATTGTCTCAGGGACTCCTTACAGGTCTGACGGTGTTGCAAGGATTGGAGGAAAATCCACAAAATGTAACAGGACTCATGGCCAATGTGACGAGGATATTTAGATTTTCCTGTGAACAAACTCTCTATGTCGACGACACTGAATGTTTTGTTGCAGTAAAGTGAAACCAAACCTCGCTACATATGTCTTTTTGAAATTTTCAGGTAAATGATGAATGATCGTCACTGAATCCAGAACTCCTAAAAACACATTAAATTAAAACAATTCATGGTTTTCTTTTCTACTCACTTCTCGGCGATGTAGATGTTGGGCCACACCTCGTCCACGGGGTTGATGGGAGCCTCCAGGCGGTCCTGCACCATGGCCCTCTGGATGTCCAGCACGCAGGGTGTGTTGTAGGGGCTGCGGTCGTCGATCATGTCCCTGACGCGGTTGTAAAGGTCCTCCACCATCAGCTGTTCGGCCGTTTCCAGCATGGACTCGGGGATGGACTCGGTGCGAACACCACGAGGCGGCAGCTCTGAGGAGAGAAAATCCCCAAGGATCGTCAGGATTTATTTGTTGGGAATTTATCAAGAATTAAATGATGCAGCCAGAACCAGGGAGCCACTGGATAACCCCGGCTGAATGCTCGGCCACATGGGAACCAGCTGTGGCCCACATCTGGCTCGATTTTGAAGGTGAAAACCTGGACAAGTTTGGGCTGAGAGTTAACTCCACTTCACACAAGTGTTTAGGGAATCCATGATGATGAACGCCTCAACCCCAAAACCCTGCGGTGGGTTCAAAAGGTTCAAGTTTTTTGTCTGGAAAATCAACCAAATTTAAGCCTAAAACTGGGGTACAACCAAGAACTGACATCATTATTATGCAGCATGTCTGCGCACCAAAGTGCCCTCCAGTAACAACGATGGTGATTTATGTCATAAAAGTAAACCAACAAGACCAAACACTGTCGTGTTATTTAAGGTGTGATTATACCTGAGAAACCTACATACTAAACCTGAGCTTTAACAGTTCTATTAATGATAGAGGACAACTGAACTATTTTCTAAAATAATGTAGTTGCTACAACACACCTCTTGCAGTATTCAGCCCGCAGGTGTGTAAACAGTCTCTACAGAAACCAGCTGATGATCATGAACCATGTGTCGGCTGTGCTGTAATGTCAGAGGAGAGATCTGATCATCTGCGATAGTGTCGTATCGGCTCATTTCCTCAATCAGCCGCTCCGTCTCCGTCTGGAATGAAACGTGGATTTGCCACAATTGAGGAGTGTTTGACCAGATTAGACTTCATTGCTTCACACGCTGCGTCTGAATGAGGTTAAGTGTGTCTCCTGCACATCCTGAAATCTTCACATGATGATTCACTGCTGCTGGGTAAAGAAGCAGAGCGATATGTTTTTTTATTCATCAGTAAAACTCCCTCACAGCGTCTTTAAAGGACAGATTGGCTGCGGAACTTAGTTTAACGCCAAGCAGACGTCACAAGACTGAATATTGAACACGAGAAGTTTTTGTGTTCATGGCAGAAACTGTGAAGTCTGAGGCAAGAGGAAGATCATGTGGACTCATTTTTCACTGCAATATAAAGTCCTGCACCTCTATGGAAACACAGTTGATTATTATTTTACAAAAAGTGAAAAAACTAGATCTAACATGTACGACATTTTGTCCTGACGTGTTACCAATAGTGAAAAAAGAGGCTTTGCATACTGTAAATATTTAATTATTTGCAATTTAAGTTTCTCATGGCCTCTTATACTTGTGGTAAAAAGTGCCAGTTTTTAGTTTTTTGTCCTGAATGTGGTGCTAGTTTAAAACTTTAAACAAGACATCCATCCATCCTCTATACACCGCTTAATCCTCATTAGGGTCGCGGGGGGGCTGGAGCCTATCCCAGCCGACTTAGGGCGAAGGCAGGGGACACCCTGGACAGGTCACCAGTCCATCGCAGGGCCACACTTAGAGACAGACAACCAAGCACACTCACATTCACACCTATGGACAATTTAGAATCACCAATTAACCTCAACATGTTTTTGGACTGTGTGGGAGGAAGCCGGAGAACCCGGAGAGAACCCACGCTGCACGGGGAGAACATGCAAACTCCACGCAGAAAGATTCCGGTGCCCCCACCGGGACGCGAACCGGCAACCTTCTTGCTGCGAGGCAACAGTGCTACCAACTGCGCCACCCTGCAGCCCTAAACAAGACATGTAAAATAAATTAATTCTGATCAGGATTTTAAGCAGAGATTTTCATTTATTAGGTCCATCAGACAGCTGAAAATCCAATGATTCCATCTGTTTTTATTGATTCTGACTCTTAGAAATGCTGTAACTGTGATGATTTTTCATTTATAACCTGCCCTTTTAAACCCGCTTGTGGGTTTTGTGGCTCAGAAAATTAATTGATCACAGTTTAGATCCAGTGTAATCACCCTTGTGTCTGTGCCGGTCTGGTTATGTTCAGGTTCCCCCATGAATTTATGAAAAAGCTTCACTTTAAAGTTCATGTGGAGGCCCTCAGAAGATGCGGTATCGTTTTAGATACAAGATGTCACACTGTTTTAAAGAGCCCACGTTCTGCTCACGTATAGCTTCATTATTTTATTTTTGGATTCTGTTAAAATACGTTTACATGCTTTAATGTTCAAAAACCAAACACTGCTGCTCAATCTGCTCTCAGCTTCTGTTTGTAACGCTCCATTGTAGCTCCTGTCTCTTTCAGGCCACGCCTCCTGGAAAGCCCAGTGCGCTCTGATTGGCCAGCCAGTCTGACTACAACCAGGTAGCGTCGGTTAATAACCTCAGGACAGACAGAGAGGTGGAGCTCGAACAGAAGCAGCTCCAGTTTCTTGGTTTGGGGCCAAACTAGCTGCTCGGCAGGAATTACGCAAATGAGTTACATGGCGATGTAGATAAGTTACGGAGGAAGAACCTGGACTTCAAATGAGGCGTTTGAGGCAGGTAAGGAGCAGAGCTTTTCTTCAGGAACTCCCTTTGTTGTAGTCTGTAGGTTCTCTAAGTTTGCAAACCTTCACATGCACAAACAAGGATAACACAAAAAGCAGAATATGGGCTCTTTAAAAGCGAGCGCCTGAAGGTAAACTGCTCTTTCAGCCGCACGGTAAACAACATCACGAGGGGTTTGTGCTCAACTGTAGAATTAATTTAGACTTTGAAATGTCTTCGTTTGGCCTCACCCTCGTTGATGATCTTCTTGGCGGCGATGGCGGATGAGAGGTGGATGGGCTCCATGAAGATGCTGGCAGCGTCAGATCCAGAGATCATGGAAAACCTGGACTCTGACGCCATGGAGAAACTGTGAGACGAAGAGGAGAAGAAGAAGAAGAAGAAGCTCTGACTACTGCGACTGCCTGCATTGTATAAGCATTGTGTGAAAACGAAAGATAAAAACAGAACACAAGCATGAAAAAGGCAGATTTTTAAACATATAATTTTAAACGGTGTGAGTGTGTAAAAATGATTTTCTCCCTTTTTCTTCTCACTACAATGTCTCTACTTTAATTGGTAAAGTTCAGGGTATAAAGTCACACTGAGTTGTGACCTTACCGAACAATGAATACACTTTTCTTCCGTCTGCTGATTATTCTGGGAAACAGCCTCTGGCTCTACACATTCTGGGTTTAATTTAATCTAAAAATCTTCCTTTGTGAGTCTGTAAAATGAAAGTTTTCTATTCCATTTAGGCTCTTCTGTTCTATTCCAAGAATAATAAAGTTTATTTGAACAAATGTCTTTTGAATTTAAGTTATTTCTTGACTCTGGCAAAAGCAGGGATGAAAACATAACTACAAAAGAGCTTCAATACTTCCATATTAGAAACGGGAAATATCACATGTTTTATATTGATCTGCGTCACAGCACAGAATACTGAAGTTTATATCAAATGGGGCACAAACACATGAATGTGGGAAGAAGTTTACAGTCGAAAACTCTTATAAGTAAACCTTATGTTCACAATTAGGATGCGGTTTATTAGATGCTCTAATAACTCTAACCTCTCTGTAGCGCCCCCTGCTGTGCATCTATCATTTATTTACAGCTGAAACAAGTTGCTGAACTAATATCTGTTTCAGAAAATCCAGTAAAACTGCGACGATTTCAACATATCAAACAAGAACATGTCAAATTTAAAGATTTGTTTATTCAAATATGAAGTTAAAAGCTGCTTCTGGATTTCTGTTTTCATGCAAATAAATAAATCTATGCTTGTAAATTTAGCAGCACAAATGTCTTCTTCAGTTGAAACATTAACCAGCAGAAGTTAAAAGGCCCATAAACTGAGCTTTGTCCAAATCAGGCTGCAGAAATGAGACAAACTGTTGAAGACACGGCGTACATATTCGTAGTCAACTACCTTCAGTGGGTTTTCTCTCTCTGTGACTTATAAACATGTCATTCTTGGAGCATATTTCAGTAGAAAAATGTCACATCTTGCAGCTTTAAAACACTGTGATGCATTGCTCTGTCCACATCAGCACTCCTTCAGTCTCCTCTTGGTTTAATTCAGCTGATAAATGCTCAATATGGAGGGTAAAATAAAGCTCCAAAACTATTGTGTCAGTTGTGAACCGAAGCAGCCTCCATGTTCTCTACCTGGGGGAGGGACAGCGGAGGTAATGGGCCTGGACTCCTCGGACGCTCTTCTCCTCGTCCTCCTCCTCAGGTACCGTCTGATCGCCGGGCTCAGCGCTCTCATTGGCTGACGCCATGGCAACCTCCTCCCTTCCTGCAGCTGAGACTGAAAAAAAAAAATCCTTTTAATCCATGTTGCTGACGTTAAGAAAGAAATCAAATAAGAGCAGGTTTTATCGGCTTCGTTTCATGTGCAGAAACGAGCAATGATGCATTTCCAATATGAATGGATGGATGGACTCTTTGTCATCAGTATTGTTGCTGCTACCAGCACCGATGACAGTAAAACAACATTACTGTCAGTATCAGCAGCCTTATGACATATCACTGGGGCTTCATAGTTCTATTAATCACTCATTTATTGGGGATTTTCACCACAGAAATAGAGCATCAGCTATGCCAGTCCGTCGAAGGAGAACTGTACGGCTGCTGAAACACACATCTTGTCAGTTGAAGTTGCCATTACAGTTTTATGATGTGATAAGAGGGATTTATGTGGTTTGCTGTGGTTAAACGGCTTTAAATCAAACATTTAAATGCACATTTCCCTTCTTCCACTACACCCTAAGAACACAAATGGCTTCATGTAAGATAGTTTTCTCTTCATGTCCTGAAAGTTAAAAGCTCACACTGATATTTTACCACGAAAATAATTTAAAATCCTGAATCATAACAGAGAAACAACACACACAGGAGTCCTGCTAAAGTTGAACTGGCCTGTTGAGCAGCTGCAGCCTTTGAGGGATTTACGTGGTTTGCTGTGGTTATAACAACTTCAAATATTTCAAATATTTAAATGCATATTTTACGTCCCTGCTTCCGTAACACTGTTAAAACACAGGTGGTTTTATATCAGATCTGCTTTGGGATTAAAGATCAGCTGTATTTAGACACTTTTCTTGTTTTCTGAAAGTAAAAACTCCCACAAGACAAGTTTTGAATCTTAAATCATCACAGCTCAATGACAAATAAAGCAATCTTGTTAAAGGTTAAATGCCTTTGAGGGATTTATGTGGTTTGTTGTGGTTAAACGACTTCAAAGCAAATATTCAAATGCCGGGAAATGTTAATATCTCTGCTTCCTGTACACTGATGGCTTTATTAAAAGATCAGTGTCATGATTAAAAAAATCAGCCTAAAGGGTAAAAGAAGCTTTCCAAGTTGTATCCCTTTTTAAACTTTGTGTCACATTCAGCTGCGACCTGCGTTATCTCTGTCGGCGCTGATCCAAAGGTTCGACTGTCGGTGAACAGAACGCTGAGTTAAACAGGTTGACCTCACATTTAGTCTTCAATCAGAGCTATTGATCGACTGACAGAGCAGAGGGATAAAATAAAGACAAGAAAGAGCCAGGCAGGTTTCACAGTGATGTCGCCGTAAATGTGTGTGTATAATGTGTGTATCAGTGTGTGTCGGTGTGTGTTGGTGTGTGTGATATGAGGCCTCCCAGCAGGTCTATTTTTAAGGCGACGACAGCTGCCTCAGCCTACAGGCCTGACAGACCTCACAGCTCCGAGCTCTGAACAACACAACAGCAGCTCTGATCAGACGTGTGAAAACTCTGGAAACACAAAACATGGCTGCTCGCGCCGCACAAAACACACTCCCACCTGTGTGTGTGTGTGTGCGAGTGTGTGTGATTGAGTGTGTGATTGAGTGTGTGTCCTTACCTGAAGCGTGCTCCTCTGAAGCCGGCGGCGGCCGAACTGACACAGCCTCCTAAAGTTAGACCGGGTCCTCCCCCGCCTCCCCCAGCAGGCCTGGGGGTGACACCCGACACCGGGCCACAGGTAACCGAGTACTTCTACTCGAGTACTTCAGCTGTAGGAGGACTCATGTGTTTATTTAGTGTTCTTTACATCCAGAATGTCTCTGGCCTTTATTTCTCCTGTCCTTCATCCTCATTTTCTTAATTCTGTTCTGCCTTTTTCTTTTCTTTACTTCCTTCCTTCTTTCATTTCTTCATCACTTTCTCCTTTTCTTGCATCCCTCCTTTCATGTTTACTTCATTCTTTCCTTCCTTCTTTATTTCCTTCATTCCTTCTTTCATGTTTCCTTGCGTCATTTTTTCTTTCCTTCCATCTTTCCTCCTTTTTTCTTCTTTGAATCCTTCCTTCTATCTTTCCTTCCTTTCATCCTTGTTTTCTTTCCTTTCCTTCCTTTCGATGAGTACCACAGATAAATCAGTTGTCCTCACTTTCCTAATTTGACCAATCACAGAGCTCTGTGTGGAAACGTTAACCAATCAGTTGCGATGTAAGAAGAGGTTAAAAAAAACCCAACAACAACAAAACACATGTCAGATTTGTTCTGTTATCTAAAGCTGTGAGACGCGAGTGGATTTTCTGTCCGTCTGTGATCTGGTTTCTACAGATCCGGAAGTAAATATTAATGAGACAGAAGAGAATTCTCCTCCATCAGTCTTTTCATTAATATTCCATCCTTCCTTTTCTTCCTCCAGTCATGTGATCCATATTTCTACCCTTCTCTTTTTCTCTCACTCCTTTCCTTCTTTCTTTTGTCTGTAAAACACCAGAAGTTGTCATCACTGAAGATATTCAGATCATCAACCCAAGAAAAGCAGCTAATCCTTTTTTTTTTTTTTTTTTTAATGCAGTAGCGTGTTTACGACAGTGTTCTGAGACCAAAGGCTGTGTGTGTTTATCTGCACTCAGCTGACAATCATCTGCACTATTTATAACCAGTGGAGAACACAGCTAATTTAAGTCACACGGTCACACAACACACACATTATGAGGTCATAATCTCGAGTCTAAGACTTCCAAAATGAACTGGGAAGTTTAGCCACTGAAACGGGGAATAAAGCAGCATTAAAACCTTCCTGAACTCTTGTTTTCCTTTAAAAACAGCACAACATTTTCATTTACTGCCACGTATTATAACTTACCTAAAATGAGGAGCGGTGTGCTTGTTTCATGTGATTTTCCACGGTTAGTAAATATGTGTTTTGAGCTGCAAAGAAATGCATGACGAGGTGAATGTGAATAAACTTTATTTACCGTAACGGGAAAGTGCTTTGAGCGGACAACAAATGTTTAGCAATACAATTCTTCAGTGAATAAACGATAGAGAAATGAACAAATACGAATTTCAAAAGTAAAAAACATTACTCGTGCATATGGAAGTGTAAGAAAACATGTTTCCTCTCAGTTCTCAGGAGATATTTAACCAATATTCTTTCGTTGACTTCAGCTGGGATGTACAAACAAACATGGAGCTAGCTAGCATGTCACATGTTGCTAACCACAGATTAGCTTAGCTTAAATAAAACATGTTATTTTTTATTCTTTAAGGGGGTCAATTGCCACAACTTAACAAAAGGGCACATTTAGTCGCAAGCTAAAAAGCAAGAATGCTATCAGCATGTGGCGGCGTAGCGCTGTGCTAATGCTACACGGCTGTGGACAGGTTGTGAGGTAAATTATTTGCATATAACAAGTTCTGAACATATCTGCAAACGTAGTGTAGCGCTTCCTAATCAAACCGTCTTTAACCTAGCTGACAAACACGAGCACTTCTGTCCAAAAATACACCTCTTCATTCGGAAATCGCTTGTAAAATCAGTTCAAACGAAAACATAGTGGCAGGAAAATACAATATATTTGTCTTCAGCATTTACACCCAACAGTCCCGCAAACTGAATCTTCCTTGATCACGTTCTCCAGCCATTTATTCTTATCCACTCATGTAGAATAACTTAGAGGTAATTTATGGCTGAGCTGCTCTCAAGGACAAATCCGGTTTATTTTCTTCACAATAATGCATCATGTGAACTTTGCACGATTGTTTTCTTTTCATTTTGTAAAATAAAGAAAGAAATTCAAGCCTTTGCCCCATTTCTCTTTTTTAAGATTAATGGCATCCTAACTGTGTTATACTGCACGAAGACAGTTCTCTCTCCAGCTGTGATTGTTCTGCAGGACTTTATATTGAAGTGAGAAAAAAAAGAGTAATGAAAAAGGGGACAAGAGCAAAAAAATGCAGAGAAACTGCTTAGAGTTCAGAGGACTAATTGGAAAGCTGAAATAAAACAGAATGATCCAAGACTTTCCTGCACTGTTGTTTTTCAGAGCTATAAAAGTCACAAGTCATTGCATTAATTGGCACTTAATGTCCCCACTGCACATAAATGGCACTAAAACATCATCCGTTCCATTTTCTTAGCCACCTCTTTTAAATTCTCAGTTATAAATGATAAACCCTGCACACTTCTCGATGCCTTTTCACTCTTTATTGCATTGAATCCACAGTGCGTTTGTCTGACAAGAATAAAGTCGTGCAGCTCGGTGCTTCAATGAAACCTTGACTTGTCACAATAAAAGGTCAGCGGCTCTATACATGCTCAACGCAGCCCAGGAGTGCGTATTGTGTATCATCCATTCGTAGGTGTGTAGGAGTGGCACGTTTGCTGCTGAGATTTCAACACAACAAGAGGAAAAGCAAACTGTGAAAAAAAAAAGGCACGTACAGGCACAAAAAAAGAGACGACAGCACGATGTCTAACTGCAACATCAAGGAGAGAAAAAGCACAGTGACGGCACATCATCAATGCTGGTTCAAAGTATCACCGGCGAAGGAGGTGTTCACATCAAGACAAGAGTTTTATAGTTCGTGGTCCACTTCTGCCAAGTCCGTATTGCTTTTCACCGTGCCCTGATAAGCACCGTAATCCACCTCAGAGCAGTTTGATACACACATGGTTTTAGTTACACGTCAGACAACAAAAACATGGAAGGTAGAAAACTTAAGAACCATCTAAACAGCTCAAAACCGTGGTTACAATATTTCTCTGAGGCTCAAGAGTCCAAAACGAACTGCGTTGGTGGCTTTAATTTGGTGCCTGACTGCGTGTTTGGCAACATGTGAAACTAAATAACAGGCTTACTATCACAGGACCTTGATAAAATACTTTATTACCAAGAGTTGTGGCCACCAGCATCCATGGGAGCAGTTTGATATCAAATGTGAGGATCAGGATCTCTAAGTTTGGGACTGAACATGCTGGAATTAATCCAGTTAAACCAATCAAAGCTGATGCCCCCCCAAATAAAGGAGTTCAAGCATGTTGAAGTCTTGCCCACGAGTGACAATTCACTCTGGACACTGGACAACTCGAGGTAGGTGTGAGAAACGTCTACAACCTCTTGTTTCCGTTGTGGTGTGGGATCCAACAGATCCACAGATGTACCGAACCCTCCTCGACCGCCAGTTTGTACAGGAGAGAGTCAATAAAGCAGATGCCTCAAATTTAACGAACATCAAGACGAGGATTATTCATGCCATCTGTCTGAAGGATGTGGCCAGGGATCTTTCTTATTTTAGCTGCCACCACGACCCGCAGCCGAAAACATGGCACAAAATAGATTTAAAGAAAAGTTTGAACCACAAGGAGTGAAACCATCCGGTACCAAACACCAGCCAGTAGCAGATGGACAGATCATTTTGGTTTATTCTGAAAAATCATTCTCTCAGCTCCTTTTCTTCAGTAATCCTTGGACCTGAGGGAGACAAACTAAAAATTTAAAACTAACTTATGTCTGTCAGAATTTTGCTCTGAATTCCAAAATACTACCTGAGGTTAGTCTTTTAGTAAAACATACTAAACCTTTTTGTAATAGCGTTGCGCAGGGCTAAAATGATCCATTAGAAAAAATATTTTCATACTTCTGGAGTAATAGTTTAAAGTCTTTTCATTTATTGAAAATAAAACTCTTTGTATTTTCTCTTTAAAAGTTTTTCGAGACACATGCAGGAATATCAGAACAGTGGTGGACGTTTATTTAACCTCCTGAGCAGAATTAAAAGACATCTGCTGATATTCTGCAGCGGGAACTTAAATTCACAGCTTACATGATCCTGAGGGAGTTACTTTTTGTTGATTCCTTGGATTTCTGGAATAAATCCATTGGACTGAAAATCCACCAGAGACATCAGAGAAAGATAAGGAGACAGCTCCGTGTGCAGATTAATATTCCACTCATGTTCAGGATAATCAGCTACTCCCTTCATGAGCGGGCACATGTCGGTGCCGCTGCATGTGTAATAATGGAATAAGCCCACATCCTGAATCGGAAAATCTTATGGATGTTAGCGGAGATGCGCTGATATTAGCGGTTGCATTTTAGCACATTTAAACACATCTGCTTTGTTTTAGAAGACACTCATTGTCTCGTGTGAAACTACCAAGAAGAGGGTCTGAATGAGTAAATCTTTGTCGTCTGGCCTTGAAGCAACAGGAGTCCTCGACCTAAAACAGCACTGCACTTTTCCTTTTTCCTGAGAAAGGCTCCGAATGAAAAGCTTTGTTGAGACAATCTGGGAGACGCAGCATGTGGAAATTGATTTAGTCAAAGCTGAATGAGGCAACTTTGCAATTTCTTCAAGTCTGATGGCCTTCATTGACATGAATCATGACAGGCTGTACCCTTCAACTCATCAGTGCCAGTTTAGTTTTTAATTTTGCTCCAAACTTTTGATTCCTCAAAAATTAACTCCAGCAAATGTGGATTTTTAAAGTAAAATCTTGCCAAGTGCACCTTTAACAACAACAGGTTTGGTCCCTCGCAGAGCAACTGCATCCAAACAATGACCAGAGACACTAAAGACAGAAAGCAGTTGAGGTCCAGAGGAAGTTTTGCAAAGAAAAACATGCTGTTATTGCACCACTTCAAGTTCGAGGCACCTGATAACTCAAAAAGCCTCTTCCAAGGTCAGTGTCCTGCAGATTCATTGCTGTTTTAAAGTCTTCTCAAAAGCTTTGATGTACAGACGTTCTGAGTCTGTACATCTGAGTAATAGTGTCCATGTTTCAGTACGTCTTATGTTTTTGTTAGTTCCTGTCATTCAACCCTTGTTGTCACCAGCAGCAGGCAGCAGAGGCACAGCCGCTTCGCTCCTCTCAGCATCACCGCCATCTTTCAGCCCGCTCATCACATTCTTCATGGTTTGGTAGTCAGTTAGCTTTTTCCTGTTCTCATCCTTCACTGCGGCGTCTAAATCGACCCTCGGGAGAGGCGGGAACTCCTGGCAGTACGCCGGCGGCAAACAGGGCACCAGATGCACCTTGCCGCTTTCATTCATGAGCTGGACGCAGGTGTAGAAATCCTGCGGTGCTTGGTTGGTGCTGAAAGCAGTCATGCCGGAGGCGGGGATGGCCATGCTGTAGTCCGTCCCCGGCAGCGACACGATCTCCGGCCTCGGCCACGGGGACGGCACCTCCAGCGATGGGGTGAAGGCTTGGGGAGGCAGGGAGCAGCAAGGCGACAGGCTCTGCACGTACGCTGTCGGGTTTTGGGTCGTGAGCTGATGGTGGGCGGTCATGGGCGTTGGGTCAGAGGGAACCACGAAAGTGTCTTTCTGCTTGTCTGTGAGGCCGCCCGGGATGCCACAGTCCTTCAGTGAGGTGAGATAGGCGTCGTCAGCGCTTACCTGGTCCCAGACTTCCTCGTAGTAGCACGGAGATTTGTAGCTGTGGAAGTTACTGAAGTGACGGTTGATTTCGTCCAAGTTCCCCTTCTGAGGATGGAGGTGAGTAGCGATACATGAAAAGAGGACAGAAGAAACCACATGAAGTGAATTAAAGGAGGAAAAAGAAGTCGAAAGAAGAAAGAAAGGAGTGCGAGCAAATGTTAAAACAAAGGGTAAAAAAATAGGGAGAAGGAGTGAAGGAAAGATAATAATGAAAACAAGAAAGATGAAAGAGGGGACAAGCAAAACGTAAGGACGAATAGGAGGATGACAAGAGAAAAGGTGGAAGGAAATCCAGCAGTGACATAAAGAAACACAAGTACAAGGTCAGAAGAAATGGCTGGAAGACGTCCCTGAAAGCAGCAGTGAATTCATGGGTTTTACCTTCAAGAGCAGCGGGTCGATGCCGATGATCCGCGGCTTCGGAACGGGCGGCAGGAAGTACTCTTTAATTCTGAGGGTGAGAGCATGAAGAGGAAAAGTTTGAAGTGGCAGCACACAAACATATCCGTCCACCCCATAGACTGTATAAAAGATGGACGTAGCTACCGTGACGTCACCCGTTGGTTTCTGCACTGAGAAAATGAAGCCAGGGTTTTGCTACTTCCTGGTTGAC